TTTAGAGTTTATTTTGAGGGCAGTAGATATGTCTATACATTGACCATGAATGACTGCCTTGTGGGCTTCCGAGAGGGAGGAGATGTCAGGAGAGATATTTTCTGAAAAATATTATCAGAGAGTTATTTTTAGGTCCACTTTGAAAGGGTCATGCTTAAGCAAGTGGCAAGTTTTCAGTGCTCTAGGGTGAAGAGCCAACGATAGTGTAATGGGGTCATGGTCAGACCATGAAATTGATTGACTACAGAAGTAAGTATGGACTCTCAAGGTGGGGTGTTCACGAAATGTATTCTATACATGAGTGGGATTTCTGGGGATGGGAATAAAAGGTTAATTGTCTATCGGAAGGACAACAAAAAGGAAGAAAAGAGAAAAAGAAAATGTGAACAACTAAAAAAGGTAAACTATACAACAGCCAAAAGAGAACCATATTCACCCGATAACCTGCCAATGAGAAAAAAATTTGTGGGATAGGGGTTCTCAACAGTCCACAAGAGACAAAAGAGAAGAAAGATCTCCAACTAGGAAGATGGAAAGGTAGATCTGCTTATAAATGTAAGCACATCCAAATATCTTATAAATATTATAAATCTCTTATCTGATTATAAATGTATATATCTGAATCTTCGAATCACAATAGAATTTTAACAAATCTAAAACAAATTATAACGAAAAAAACAAATTAATTTGAATTCATTTATTTCATTCATTTGCAATTTCAGAAAGTTTTGTAAGTATAATAATATATGTCACACTCTTTACTGTTAGTTCCAAAATATCAAAGTTGCAAGCAAGTCACATCAAAGTTGTAAGTAAGTCTCATTGAAGTCGCAAGCAAGTGGCTGAAATAATATAATGACATAAGGAATGAATCCGAATCTTCCGAAATAACTTCCGAAAATATGAATTGATTCGGAAAAATTAATATACAAAACAAGTCTGAATATACAAAACAAATTCTGAAAACAAATCATTCTAGCATAACAACTATGGCAAAACGAAATGGTTGACTTAATAAATTCATTCGGAACAAAACATATTTTTTTTGTCATGCACATCTCAAACTACTCAACTATTCAGAGGAAGCTACACTGTGTATTCTGTGAATGAATACAAAACTTCCTCTGATTGGCTGAGGCGGGCTGATGAAGTTATGGACTTTGCCTCAATCAGAGGAAATTTTGTAGTCATTCATAGAATACAAAGCCTCCACTGAATGGCTGAGCAGCACTCGGCCTGATTTGATTTTGTTCCAGGAATAGACATAAGTACTCGTCCCACCACTGAAACACTGTAGGTAGTTGAGGCTAAATATAATTTATACAGCGCTCCTAGCTGCTGCAACTGTTAGTGAAATAAACAGTTTGTTTCGACCAGCTTGCTGGAAATTAATTGTTTAAATGAACCATGGAGATCAGCTTTAAGAACCTGAGTAATATCCTCTTGCAGTCCCTCTACAGTAGAGCTGAGACTGGAGTAGGGAAAGGGCACACAAGGAACCAATTAGTCGTGCAGCAATGCTCGTGCTATTATGGAGCTCTGCTGTTTCTCCTCCTTACTGTCCAGCCACAGGATGGGATGAGTCAAGACCTATAAATGTTACTGAAGTTCATTTAAAGTGGTTCTAAAGGCTGGAGGTGTTTTACCTGCATACCTCCCCCCATATTTACCTGAGCCCGATCTCAATCCTCTCGGGCCTCTGCCTCCTCATTGGCTGAGAGACAGCAGCAGGAGCCATTGGAGGAGGAAGCAGGGGGAGGAGGGGGGCGAGGCCGAGCTGCACTCTATATGTCTTATGGACACACAGAGTGGGGCCTGGGCCTGGGACTGAGCAGCTTGCTATGGGCACCCAGCAAGGGGGGGGGGGGAGCCAGCAGCACAGAAGAGGGACCTGAAAAGAGAAGGATCGGGACTGCTCCATTGCACAGTAGGTAAGTAGGTAAGTATAACACTGGGGCGGACTGACAACTCATGGGGCCCCTGGGCAATAGGGGATCATGGGGCCCCTGTGTCCTTGCCTAAACTCAAAAAAGCCTATGAAAAAGGTACCAGGGGCATCTCATGGGGCCCCCTACTGACCCCGGGCCCTCGGGCAGTGCCCGAGTTTCCAAATGGTCAGTCCGCCCCTGGTATAACATGTTTGTTATTTTTTAAAAAATACATTTTTTACCTTTATAAACACTTTAACTGCAGCAGAGAACAATCACGTTTCCTCCCCTGCTATGCAGGCCTGTGCTGTGTAAATCTCAGAACTGGATAGACATAAACACAAATCCTTTGGTAGGTAAAACAACTCTAATATATGTATTTTATCTGCGTCTTTAGCTGTGGAGTTCCGTTTTACCATCCCCAAGTTACATATTTGCAAAAAAAAAAAATCTCCATTCTTATTCGTTGCCTAATTAGATTTGCATCTAACTTCTTGCAGGGCTCTCACTGACAAACACCAACAATCACTGTTCTCGTAAAAGGCAGAGATGTGGAGACTAATGAGGGTTTAGACCAATTAATCACTTTCCTTCCCAAGCAATTGATCAGGATTTTTTTATTCACATTTTGCATGAATGATTTATTTATTCTCTGATGGAAACCGTGTAATTGAACTACACATTCAGATACAATTTAATTTATTGTTCATTAAAGTGTACTTTTGTTTTTTTAAACACTGGTACTGTATGACACCAGACCCAACTAATTTAAATTACATCCAAGCGAAATAGATTTATTCTTTTTTTATTTCAAATTAATAACTACCTCAGCGGTATGGCTTTATGAATAATAATTTTATCAGCATATTTTTTCCTTGTACGCTGGAAAAAAACAGGCTGCCCAGACTGCGTATAAGCATAAAACTTGGAGTTTCTAAAGTTATTTAGAAGACAAATGTCTTGCACATAAGTGCTGCAAATTCACTGAAAATGGAATGTTTTGAAAGCATTTTGCTTAATTTGCTGGTCTGGAAAAATTGCCCATCTTGTAAATAGACAATATTCCCTGTTTATGAAAATGCTTTGTTTTCTATGGATTTTAAAAAAAATGCAACGGCCTTTAACTCTTTTGTGACTGTAAGCTTCCTATTTTATCTTTTATGTCTGCACTAATTTTCCATTTTTCACCTCATTCGTCAGTAAATCACCAACACCAACTAAATACATATGAAAACAAGTAAAAACACTTTCCTGTATACTCCTCTTTACACTTGTTTCTACTCATTCTCCCTGGTCTGTCCACCCCTTCTTTCGAATCCCATGTTGGCATTTAAAAAAATATGTGATCAGTAGCCAGCTTCTTTTTCCTCAGTCTCCATTCCTTGGGCTAGCCTACAAGGACCTTCTTTGGTGCATGTATCGCGCATAGAGCAGCCCATTCAAATGAACACGCAAAAAAGTGTGGAAAAATGTGAAACGCGCAGATGTGAATGCAGCCTTAGAGATCTGACACATTTTTTTTTTTTTTACGTTGCCATGATTTTAGCAATGAGAGCATTATTAAAGGGGAACTAAACCTTCCTATCCTTTACAGTCAAGGAAGCTCCCATCTTAATCTCTATCTTGAACTGCAGTTGCCATGGTGCTGAACATATGATAGGCTATGACACCAGTCATCTGATACAAAGATAACACCTCCTGCGCTCTAGGACTCAAACCAGGGGTGGAGGAATTGAGGAACCTCAAAACAATTCCACCAGTGCATGGAAGGATGTGCAGCTCTACAACAAGGCTGAGGAAGCCCGACTGATACTGTAAAGTGAAGCAAAAAGAAAGAGCTTACCAACCTTGCGCATTACCTCAGTAATTCAGTGATTTTATTAAATACAATATATATACTCACAAACAAGGATGTAAAACAAGCATTGCAGATCCTCAAAGGAACTAGGGAGTGTAGAGCCAGTGCTGAGTCATTTCACGAGGGTAGACTCTCAAATTGAGGCTGACGCGTTTCGAAGGGAGACCCTTCTTCAACAGAGCTAACTCTTTGACCTCACTTTGAGAGTCTACCCTTGTGACATGAATCAACACTGGCTATACACTCCCTAATTCCTTTGAGGATCTGAAATGCTTGTTTTACATCCTTGTTTGTGAGTATATATATTTTATTTAATAAAATCATTGAATTACTGAGGTAATGCGCAAGGCTGGTGCGCTCTTTCTTTTTGCTTCACTTCACAGTACCAGACATTTGATGGCATGACAATTCAGTTGAGATCACAAGCAACTGTGACAGTTAGGTCTCATTCACACGGGCGTACTATAGTGCACACCTGTGTGAGGGCCATGTTTGCCTGCACGGGTGTTCTCCGATGCAACTCGGATGCAATGGCTGCACGGACACAGCTGTTGCTCACAATTTGACAGCCATGCAGGTGCATGTCCTTGAATGCAGACAGTGTGCCAATATACTTCTGTCAGTTTATTAGGATTTTTTCGCTAAGTAACAGGTCCACTCAAAGTGATTGTAAAGGGACAGCCTTTTTGTTGTTAAAATAATAAACATGTTATTCTTACCTGCTCAATGCAATGCTATTGCACAGAGAGATCCTGAACTTCCTTTTCTGGGGTCCTAGCCAGCGCTCTCCACTTCTCTTCTGTGTCTGGTCCCACAGCAAGCTGCTTGCTATGGGGGCAGATGTGCGGGTTTGCTCCCAAGCTGGGCTATGTGTGTTCTTAGACTCACACAGCACAGCTTGGTCCCTCCCCCCCACTCCCTCCTTACAGGACTCAATTGACAGAAGCAGGAGCCAATGGCTCCTTCCGCTGTCTCTGTACCTGTGAGGGGAGAGAGAGAGAAAGCAGCAGCAGCAGCAATGCTGCGCTCAGGCACAGCGCTGGATTGAAAGAGTATTAAGGTAAACCCAGGGACGGACTGACCATTTGGAAACTCGGGCACTGCCCGAGGGCCCTGAGTCAGTAGGGGGCCCCATCAGATGCCCCTGGTACCTTTTTCATAGGCTTTTTTGAGTCTGGGCAAGGACACAGGGGCCCCATGAGTTGTCAGTCCACCCCTGGGTAAACCTTATGCCTTTAGAACCACTGTAATAGCTGCCCCCTTTATTGTTCATTCTTATCTTCCTCTGTGCTTTCCCACTAACCCTTTTACCATTTTAGGACATCTGGGTATGAAGCATGTGACTCTCCTACTTCCACAATGGAGTGTTTGGTTCCTGAGCATCCAAAAGACAAGACAGAATGCTTACATGTAAGTGTAACAGGAGAGTCTATAACCCTATGCAAGCATCAACTACACCAACATGTAGCTCACAGAGGGCTTTTTCACATGTCTTTGGTGACAGAAATAACTGTTGAGCAAACCTTTAATTTTGCCCTAGATGTGCAAAGTTCAAGGAAGGCCTGGAGCTATAAAGAACGAATGAAGCGTAGGGCCAGCATGACAAGGTGGAAGGGGAACCAGACAGCATAAAGTTAATCTTTTTCAAAGGGAGTTGTAGGAGGTATACTTACATGACTGGTTGAGGAGATGGGGTGATGGGGAGGAGCATAGGAGATTAGAATGCAGGGAGGGGTTAGACTGTATCACTCAGAGTCTGGAAGCCATAGGATGAACAGCCCTCCCTCACTGGTATTTGCTATTTAGGCGGGTGTCGAAAAGGTCTTTCGGTGATAGGATCGGCAGTTGGGACCTCTTGAATAGGGTTGTGGGATACAAGTGAGGACACATTTGTTGGTATGATGTCCTCTGGTTGGGTAATAAGGAACAGGTAGTGGTAGACCTGTAAGGTCTGCGAGAAAGTGGTAATGCCCCCCGTGTCTTGTGGCTGGGGACATACATATTTTTTTAGCTGTAATGTTAATTTTTCTTATTATTGTTATGTTGGTTTAATAAAAGGCCTGATAGACATTTAACAACACTTCATGTTAAGTGTTTTATTGGGGTTAAGGGGTGGTGGAATTTTGGAGGGTAGTTTAGCAGTTTTGGGCGGTGATCTCTGATCTACCCTAGTCAAGTGTACTTTAAAGTCCAATTCTGGGCTAATCCTTGTCAGCCCTCAGATGCTCCATCCTAATGCCCCCCATGTGTGTTATTTTGCCATCATTGCTGACGTCACACCTTCGTCTCTTCGGCCATTTTGGTACCTTGTTATTATTCTTCTCCACGTGGATTGCTTTGTTATATGTATACCAAGTTTTAAAGAAATAAATACTACACTATAATAGTCCATTTGGTTCCTGTGGTTGAACAATCTTCCCCAGATTAAAGAGACACGCACCACCGGTACTGTGAGAATGCTGGATGAATAACCCTTAAGCTGTTCCTCTACTCCTGCACCCAGATGTGACAGATTGTAATCAATGCTAGTATACATTAAAGTTCTGGTGAGTGCACACCCATCAGAAGTGGTGGATTACCTTTAAAGATATATGCACAACTGCACTTTGGTCACAAGGATATATTGTGTCTTAATTGAAGAACTACTTCTGCTGAATTATCTTTTCTACCTTCATAACTAAAATCAGAATGATTATTATGGACATTTATTGATTTATTCGCTTAATGCACATTTTGCACTAATTCACACTTTATATATTGTGCACTAATTACTTTATGATTTGAATATAATTTATTCATATTTATTCATATATGTCACAGCGCTGCACTTTTATATATTTTGAAAATGCAATGCAACTGACTGTACAGATAGATGGCATTTAGGGCTAACAAGGCACAAGTTCAGTACCCATTAGACTAACAACTGATGCCTTTATCCATGACTGTCCTCTCATGAAGCCTAAAATATATTCCTAGAAATTACATACATATATACAGTTGGGTCCATATATATTTGGACACAGGCACAATTTTAGTTTCAGGTATTTACCAAAATATATTCAAGCTATAGTTATATAATGGATATGGGCTCAAAATGCACACTGTCAGGTTTAATTTGAGGGTATGTACATCCAAATTGGAGGAAGAGTAGCCACCCCCCCCCCCCCCTTTTTTCAAGGGTCCAAAAGTAATTGGATAATTTAATCAAAAGATGTTTCATGGTCAGGTGTGGGCTACGTCTTCATTATTTCTTTATCAATTAAGCAGGTAAAAGGTCTGGAGTTGATTTTAAGTGTGGTATTTGCATTTGTAATCTATTGCTGTAAACCTACGTCAAGCGTTCAAAGGAGCTGTCCATGCAAGTGAAACAGGCCATTGTAAGGCTTCAAAAACAAACAAATCCATCAGAGAGATAGTAGCAACTTTAGAAGTGGCCAGATCAACAGTTTGGTACATTCTGAGGAAAGAAGAACGCACTGGTGAGCTCAGCAACATAAAAAGGCATGGACGTCCACGGAAGATAACAGTGGTGGATGATTGCAGGATCCTCTCTATGGTAAAGAAAAACACATTCACAACATCCAGACAAGTGAAGGACACTCTCCAGGGGGTGGGTGTATCATGGTCAAAGTCTACAAGCAAGAGGAGACTTCATGAGAGCAAATACAGAGGGTTCACCACAAGGTGCAAACCATTCATAAGCCTTAAGAATAGAAATACCAGATTAGACAAAAAAAAATCTAAAAAAAAGCCAGAACAGTTTTGGAAAAGCATTCTTTGGACGGATGAAACTAAGATTAATCTGTAACAGAATGATGGGAAGAAAAAAAGTGTGGAGAAGGCTTGGAACAACTCATGATCCAAAGCACACAATGTCATCTGTAAAACATGGTGGAGGCAGTGTGATGGCATGGGCATGCATAGCTTCCAGTGGCACTAGGTCATTAGTGTTTATTGATGATGTGACAGAAGACAGAAGCAGCCGGATGAATTTTGCAGTGTTTAGAGAGATACTGTCAGCCCAGATTCAGCCAAATGCAGCAAAATTGATTGGACGGCGCTTCACAGTACAGATGGACAATGATCCAAAACATACTGCAAAAGCAACCCAGGAGTTTTTGAAGGAAAAGAAGTGGAATATTCTGCAATGGCTGAGTCAATCACCTGATCTCAACTTAATTGAGCATGCATTTCACTTGCTGAAGGCAAAACTAAAGGCAGAAAGACCCACAAACAAAGAACAACTGAAGACAGCTGCAGTTAGAGCCTGGCAAAGCATCACAAAGGAGGAAACCCAGTTATTGGTAATGTCCATGGGTTCCAGACTTTAGGCAGTATTTGCCAGTAAAGGATTCTCAGCAAAATATTAAAAATGAACATTTTATTTATGATTATATTCATTTGTTCAATTACATTTGAGCCCCTGAAAACGGAGGGACTGTGTATAAAAATGGTTGCAGTTCCTAAAATTTGTACTTGATATTTATGTTCAACCCCTTGAATTAAAGCACTTCAAATTGGATTGTTTCATTTTAATTTATTCTGGTAGCATACAGAGCCACAAGTATGGAAATTGTGCCACATACAGTGCCACAAGTATGAAAATATATGGACCTACCTGTATATCACAACAATAAAGCAAGAGCAAGCCACCCAAAAATGACACTGATTGTTAATGTCATAAGCACCTCTCCGACTCACTTGTACAAGTGTGGATACATAAACCCAGGGGACAGCATACTAAACAATATGATAGTGTGACAAGAACACACCTATCTGAAAAATAAGGTTTCTAAAAGATCCACGCAGAGTAGTATGAATTCAAATGAATTTAACAATACTTTATTTGATCACATAGATCATGGGGAGGTTAAACATGAGCACGGTGTACATATGAAAAAAATAAAATCATGTTTAAAAACACTTAGCGTCTTCAATTTAGGGTCATCTTAGCCAACAGAGCACCATATAAGGCAGAGTAGTGTAATGATGGAATAGTTATCCTGGATTTCCGTAGGTTTCCTGCTTAATATTTGTGTAAACCGTGTATTCAGTGGGTGTGTTCCCAGTATATGTCAGGGACCTCCTGGAATGTACAAGCTGGAACACAAAAAATACATGGTATGTATCTAGCAATATGGAAACCAAATCACATCCAAAAATTTACCAGGCCTCCCTGCACAATAGTCAATGGATACTACTGTTACCTTCTCAGAGGTGAGACTATCATACCCGCCTCTCAAATGTAGGGACTTCCTGGATAGCCACCCCAATTCCATTTGGGGTGGCTATCCAGGAAGTCCCTACATTTGAGAGGCGGGTATGATAGTCTCACCTCTGAGAAGGTAACAGTAGTATCCATTGACTATTGTGGAGGGAGGCCTGGTAAATTTTGGATGTGATTTGGTTTCCATATTGCTAGATACATACCATGTATTTTTGTGTTCCAGCTTGTACATTCCAGGAGGTCCCTGACATATACTGGGAACACACCCACTGAATACACGGTTTACACAAATATTAAGCAGGAAACCTACGGAAATCCAGGATAACTATTCCATCATTACACTACTCTGCCTTATATGGTGCTCTGTTGGCTAAGATGACCCTAAATTGAAGACGCTAAGTGTTTTTAAACATGATTTTATTTTTTTCATATACACCGTGCTCATGTTTAACCTCCCCATGATCTATGTGATCAAATAAAGTATTGTTAAATTCATTTGAATTCATACTACTCTGCGTGGATCTTTTAGAAACCTTATTTTTCAGATAGGTGTGTTTCTTGTCACACTATCATATTGTTTAGTAACCTACCTGTATATATATATATATATATATATATATATAGTATTTTTTTTTCTTTTTTTTAATTTGAAATATGTTTTATAGTGATTTTGCTAAGTTACACTTTACTGCAGACTGACACAATTATTTAATAAGCAAGTTGATATGCTGAATATACGTTATTTTTAAATTAAGATAGGAAAAAGCCAATTGAGTAAGCTGTATATGTTTAACTTGGAACTTTAGTCAGAAAATTAAGTACTGATAGATCACTTCATGCTGGCTCCTTTGCAGGCATAGCTAAAACATTAAAAATAGGTGCTAGTAGTACACTGTAGTAAAATGTAGAGGCCGATCTGCTGACTGCCTAAAGATTTACTGCTGCTTAGGGGCTCCGGGCTTCAGCAAAATGGCAGCCTCAAGCATGAAAAAACAGGAACAATTCTGGAGGCAATTTACAGTACACACTAATTTTGGGTAGCATAATTATTAA